TTTCCATGGATGGGGGTAAAGTTGAGATTTGACTGCATGGATTTTCTCATTCCATGGAGGAGATAAAGTTGAGATTTGACTATGTGGAATTTCTCCTTCCATGGAGGGGGTAAAGTTGGGATTTAACTGCATGGAATTTCTCTTTCCATGGAGGGGGTAAAGTTGAGATTTGACTGCATGGAATTTCTCATTCCATGGAGGGGGTAAAGTTGGGATTTGACTGTGGAATTTCTCTTTCCATGGAGGGATGATGGTTGAGCTCGTTGGTGAGCAGGAAGGAGTTGCAGTTGTGAAATGTTTGGGAATAGGCACAATCATGGAATTTTAATGATCATTCCACGAGCCCTGGCTGGCTGGTCCTGCCAGTTATCCCTTTTATGATGTTTCCATGGAAGGAGTTCTTGTTGGGGAACTGGTATTGTATGGGAAGTTGGGGAATCTTGGGAAAATTCAGCGGGACAATGGAGGTCAGATCTGTCACCAAGGATCTGTTGGACCCATCCCTGAAGATGGGACAACGACCAGAGAAGAACGCCTTTAACACAGACACCACCACCCATCTCACCAAGTCACTTTTTCACCAGCTTGAGGAAGGGAAGAACCACTTTGCATCCCTAAAATACTTTAAGGTGGACGTTGTTGCATCGTGATGTTCCTCCCTTGTGCCTCACAGGGTTCACTGCTTCCACTACCTGATCCCTCTGGCCAAACAAGGGAATTACGCCATCGTGGCCAACGTGGAGAGCATGGACTACGACCCGCTGGTGGTGCGGCTCAACAAGGACATCAGCGCCATCGAGGAGGCCATGAGTGCCAGCCTGCAGCAGCACAAGTTCCAGTACATCTTCGAAGGTCAGGCACTTCCCAAGCCTCCCTCCAGAAAGGGTTTTCCACTCTCATCCCAAAGCTCCACAGGGCTCCTTTCAGGGGTGAAGCAGACTGAGGTGCTGCTGTCACCTGCAGAGCATCGATGAGTGAGAACCGTGTGAGAGAGCTGGGATTCTCCTTCCATGCATGGTTGGGTACCTTGGGATTTAAGTGCATGGAATTTCTCCTTCCATGGATGGCGGTAAAGTTGGGATTTTACTGCATGGAATTTCTCCTTCCATGGATGGGGGTAAAGTTGGGATTTTACTGCATGGAATTTCTCCTTCCATGGATGG